GTGAGAGCCATGGGTAGCAAATATTCAGCATAATGACATGAATAAATCCCTTCTCTCCACAGCAGCAGGATCTATAACCTCTAAAGCCTGCCCAGAACATAGGTGAATGGTGCTCTGCTGAGACCAGCTCAGCACTCTCACACTGGGAGAAGTGAAGCTTTCCCATCTAAATTCCCTGATATAAAGAAAAAAACTGCTATATTTTCACTGATTTAAGGCACAGAGCTGAGCTGAGAATGCCACAACAATTTCAAGAATTTATTTTCCCACAATTCTCATTCATCTTAATGAGACCCACAGAGCTTAATACATGGTTATCAACCTAGATAATCCCCTCCAGGCTGACCACGCTTTTTTGCTAACTTGTTTGTTTTGTGGGGTGGTTTTTTTTTAAAACAGAGGGAGGAAGGGAGGTTTTAAGGATAATAGACAAGTATTACCATAGCAATGAGCAATTAGAGCAGCTACCAAGCCTGGGTCCTCTTGGGCACCTGATTTCAGTCTTGGTGCACAGTTTAGCCTAAAACTGACTGTGCTGCCTAAATCCACGCTTTTTTGCTAACTTGTTTGTTTTGTGGGGTGGTTTTTTTTTAAAACAGAGGGAGGAAGGGAGGTTTTAAGGATAATAGACAAGTATTACCATAGCAATGAGCAATTAGAGCAGCTACCAAGCCTGGGTCCTCTTGGGCACCTGATTTCAGTCTTGGTGCACAGTTTAGCCTAAAACTGACTGTGCTGCCTAAATCAAATCATAGAATCATAGAACCATAGAATTTAAGGGTTGGAAAGGACCTTACAGATCATCTAGTCCCAACTTCCTGCCCTGGGCAGGAGCACCTCCTCACTAGATGAGGTTGCTCAAGGTTTTATCCAACCTGGCCTTGAACACCTCCAAGGTCGGGGCAACCACCACATGCCTGGAATGCCTTGGATAATGACTGTGTTCATAATCATTAGCTTGCTACGTGGAGGCATCTGAAGTGTTAGAGACATCCTCATAAAACCTTCATACAGCACATGCCAATTGAGAGCTATATTGTTATTTATGTTTAGTTTCAGGAAAAGTATATAGTTAAACCAGCATTAAATCAAGGCAGAGTGTGAATCAATCCTATGGGTGGCAGCATCTAGCTTCAGTTTCAGGCAGCCATTTTCTCCCCAAATCAGATTGATTTGTAAGCAATTGCAGTGGCAACAATAACAAAGAATAGAATCTATTTTTGGATGGGGAAGCTAAGGAATCAATTTTTTTTTCTCTCAGATATTAAAAAATACCCTGTTGCTTCAGTGATTCTTGGCTTTTCCATCTTACAAATTGATTTTTAAAATACTTTTGCATCAAATGTAAAATTCATTGGATATAATAAAAATTTATCCCCCAAAAAACCAGAAAATATCCATATGGACCTTCTTCTAAAAAAAAAAAAAAGGGCAAAACAACCAACCAACCAGAACCAAATCAAAAAGCAAACCCCACAAAGACAGTGTTTTTTAATGTGGTCAGATAAACATCAGGAGACTACTGGATTTGTTAAATACCTTTCTAATGCCTAGGGAGGAAAAGCTTTTCACTAGGGAAAAAACCCAAAACATATGTTGAGGCTGATGTATTTTCAGTTTCCCAAAGCAACACAGATTGCTTTGTATGCCACTGCTAGAAAGCAAAGGGAATGGGCTGAAGCTCACACTTCCATAAATCATGAAAGAATCAGCTCTGTCCCTGCCTCTGCAGAGGTAGTGCCAGCACAGTGAAGACCTTGGGATGAGCTGTTTTTAGAAACTTGGCAGGAGCAAGGCTTGAATCTGCATCTGTTCCCAGAATCACAGGGTCCAGAGCAGTATTTGTGGAGCAGTACACAAATAAAAGAGGGACTGGAGGCTGTAAAAAATCATAGTGTGAGGTTAAACCTTTTGTTAAGTGGCTTCACCTCATAACAGGTGAATATAAAGAGTCCTTTGTGTTTTGCTACAGCCTAGACTGTGTTACTGATACCATTTGCATCCTTAGTTTTGCAGTGCAATCCAAAGTACACCAGCTCATGTCAGCTGTGCTTGTCACCACAGGCCTAGAAAGGAAGAGGTCAAGGGCTATGGATTTCACCCTGGATTGCCCAGGGAATCCACAATGGGCTAGGTATGATCTCAGCTATGGATTCTCAGCTATGGAAGAAGAGATTCCTCTGGGCTCATTTGTTCCTCGGAGTCTTTGCAGAACCTTTTGGAAAACCACACAGAGTGTGCAGCAAAGAAACTGTGGACTGAGCTGTTTCTGGACAGGGGGACTGTAAGGATACCATGCAGCAGGAGTCAAGATTACTTGGCTACACACAAATGACTGAACAGCTTGCAGATGCAACAAGCAAGCTGGGAAAGGATTTAGTTTGGCTTGAAAAAGAAGAAAAGAATTGCCTTTTTCTTCTCTAACCACTTCTCCTCACTGACATTAGCAAAGACTGCTGTAGCAGGTCTGTTCAGCTTCCATAGTTAATCAGCTATAAATGGATAGATAATTACTAGAGGAAATATCCATGCTTGTGTACCAAGCAGAGCTGCATACTTCTTTCGTGAGACAACAAATATACACCATCGACCTCTAAGCAGAAAACCAAGTCCTGTGTCAGGCAGCTGGACCTCTTTAGCCTGGAGCAAAGACTGAGAGGGGATCTTATCAATGCACCTAAGTATCTGAAGGGAGGGTGCCAAGAGGATGGAGCCAGGCTCTTCTTGGTGCTGCCAAACAATAGGACAAGAGACAACAGACTGAAACTGGAACACAGGAAGTTCCACCTAAACATGAGGAATAACTCCTTTACTGTGACTGAGCACTAATACAGACTGCCCAGAGAGGTTGTGGAGTCTCCTTCCCAGGAGATATTCAAGAACCATCTGGACTCATTCCTGAGTATCATGCTCTAGAGGACCCTGCCTGAGCAGGGAGGCTGGACTAAAGGATCTCCAGTGGTGCCTTCCAAGTTTACCCATTCCACCAATTTGGTTTCTTGGCCAACAAGGCGGCAATGTTAAAGCTACTCTAAAGCATGTGTCTAGGAATCCATTCTGCTCACAATGTAAATATTTTGGGGTAAAAACCAGTGACCTGCATCTAGGCAGCACTGCATCAATGTTAGGTGAGATGTGAAAAATTAAATAGCAGATTTGGGATTTATTCACAGATCAATGAAGGGTAAGAATGTATAGCAACTTCAAAAAAAAAAAGGCAGCTGTGTAAATGAAAGGAAAGTCTCAAGCACAGCATTTTCAGACAGGAAAACAGAGAAGCTAATATGTCATCAGGGAGATATTGAGATTATCTACAGTAAACAGGATACTCTAGATGAAGAGGCAAGAAATATCAGAAACCTTCTGTCCTAAAAGCAGAGCAAGAGCAATTTGAGGGAGAAAAGTATCATGTGTGTCATTTATTCAGGATAATAATCCAAATGCTGTTATATAGGTAAAGTAAATATCATAAAAGTAATAAACACAATGTTGGTTTAAAAGGGTATCTGGGACAGTTTCTGCATATAGCTTCCAGGAAGAAGGAATCTTTAACTGAAATATAAACCAGAAAAGTAAGGCCTATAGGTTCCTATTTGTTGACCAGGGATGTGGTGGTTGCCCTGACCCTGGTGGTCTTCAAGGCCAGGCTGGATGAAGCCTTGAGCAACCTGATCTAGTGAGGAGGTGTCCCTGCCCATGGCAGGGACTAGATGATCTGTAAGGTCCTTTCCAACTCTTAATTTCTATGATTCTATGATTCTATTCTGATTTTACAACAGATTTCCTGTGTAATATTAGT